TTTTAATAATGATTTAATTTGTATAATAAACCCATAGCTGAAATCTCGTGTAGATCATTGAGATGTATGTGATATTTCTGTTGCATCATCGACCATCGTTATACCTTGATAAAATAGTTAAGAAAGCAAACAATGCGCGCAATTTTATTAATATACGAACGTTAAACAATGAAAATGGATTTACTAAATGTTTTTAATGTTTCATTAAATATGACTGTTACATACATGTGTTGTTACTTGTACAGAATAACGTTGATGTAATATTCATATTGTATTTATGGTTTCACCATTCACGGAGTTAATAAAATCTACAGTTTTAAATATACGTCGTCTCTTTTATTATACGTGGACTTAATTATTACATTGATATTACATTGAATCTTTATAAATCTTTAGATCTCTGAATAACATTAATAAAATTAATGCTTAAGAAAACATCGAAAGCATCAGAGTTACAGAATTGAATTTGGAGCATCACTACTTAATGATTTCTATTTCTAATTTTATGTTCCAGTTTTTTAATTTTGGGTTCTAATTTTTATTTAAAAAAAAACACCTTTATTTAATTAAGACGTTTTTTAAGATACGGAATAAAGTTAGTACATTTATAAAATATCAAAAAATTAGATGTACAAACTTAATCACCAGAAATAATATACTTGTATGTCAAAGTAACATGAATTTGAACAAATTATACATTTTTCATTCTTGTACTAGGTATAATACTTGAAAGAACTCAATATGATGAAATAGAAGTTAACAAAAATAATGTATTCATATACATTATTTATATATTATTTACACATTATTATACATATACATATTTCGTCATTGAATTCTTCCTCAAAAACAGTCACTTAATTATCTTAGATAGCACACTCCTTCATCTTAAATATGAAGAATCAAACGTATTCTTATCAATAAAGACACAAAAAATCTTGAATTTTTAAACATCAGTTTTAATATTTTTAAGTATTAACTCTTTTTTCCAGTAATAAAACTTAAATAACATTAACAACGGCAGTAATATCTCTAAACACTTATTCAATTGGCGCAGATGTGTTTGAATCACCTGCAGAGATTAATATAGATAGATAATCTAATAAATTAATCGTACATAATATAGAAAAACAGTCAAACAATAAAAAACTATTGAAGTAATTAAAAATGTATTAGAACAATTTCAATTATATTTCAATAATAAATAATAATAATGATGACAAATGGAAAATGATACTTCTATAAAATAGAAGAATTGAAATATTTAACAGAAATATGTTCTATTATATTAAATATCTAATAGAATTAAACGTTCTATCAGCCATGGAAATTCATCTGATTTCTCATAGCAAATAATAATTTAAATATTAAAAAATATAAATAACATTATTTACGCATGCTAATATTAATTAAATTGAATAATATATTATTCATTTTCATAAAACATTATGGATCTATCAGCTATTTTCAAAACACTTGAAATCTATTACACTCAAGTTATTCCCTTTTTCAACTACTTCATATTAAAAGATTTCTTCTTACATGTTAAGACACATTAACAATATAAAAATCAGAAAATCGCCAAAAATGAATTTGTATCTTTTCCATATGATGTTTGGTTATTTATAACTAGAGTGAAATCAATGGAAAATTGTTTCGTCTATCTCCAGATCAGAATTTCTAAATCTCAAATAGATAGTCGTACAACTCAAATTTGAGTGGGAGAAGTAATGGCGAATTTCAGATCGTTGTCAAGGGAAGCATATTGGAAAAAGAGGAAGCAGAATACCAGAGAAACGAATCCTCGCGTTACTTGAATTGCCGTACTTGAATTCTTGTCCATTGTTCTCTTGAAGAGAACTAAGGAAGCATTCTCTACCAACTCCGCAATGCATTTCTGGGATAATTGCATCATAGGTGTACAATTATATCGGGAAGCTTTGTACAAACTTAGGGATCATCTTCTAACTTGATAACATTTTTATATCTTGTTAAGTTAATAACGTAATTTTGCATAAAATTTATATAATACGTACATACGTATATATTTGAAGAATATTTTAAAAAGATTGATCGTATCTTCTGATCTTAAAGGATTCTTTCATATATAAAAATTGAAAGATTTCTATTTATAAAATATGTCTCTTCAAATTCTTAAGATAAATCTTAGAAGAATTTGTTTTCTAACTGGAAAAATAATACTTTGGAAAAATTAAACTGTAAGATAATAACTGTACATATTTATTGTAACAACTGTAATATGATGGAAAGTACAAAAAATTTATTAAAATGAAAAGTATTGAAAAATAACCGCTTTATTCAACGTGACACTCATTATTCGAAACGACGATTCTCTAAAGTGCCTGCTTCCTTGCCAACGTCTTCTCTACGAACATGTGCCGCGGATGTATCAAGACTTCTGAATGTTTCCGGTGTAACTGGCATCATCTAAACCACTACCGATGTCAGTTCTAAGCGTCAATTCGTTAGTGTCTTCCGCGAGGAAGATCAATTAATCAGGTGAGGAAATCTCAAGTTCACCAGGATAGATACGAATTGAACTAGTCTGGAAAATATCTAAAGGCGGAAAATGTTTCCGTTCGAACAGCTTCAACGTATCGATTCTTCATAGAATTAAAAGTAAGCTTACTAGCTCATCAAAGGCTGCTGCTTCGGCCATTATGGCATCGTCTGACTAATTCACAAAGAAGCAACCGATGTCAAAGAAACAGAAGCTAAAATATTTAATAATGGACAGCTTAAATTTTAAATTTGTAATTTGATAAATCGACGATTGTGAAGGATTGCGACGATTGTGACGAATTTTTGCCAAACGTCTCCTAGCAGTAATGTTAAATATAAAGTTGATGGTACAATGCTAGTACATGCTTAGTTATATTTATTTTACATTTCTGTTATTTAAAGGATGTGATAAATGAAATCTCAGTCAAGTTTTGTTCAACATTATCGTCCGGTAATAATGTTATTATGATATTGTCTGCAACAATTTATTTTCCAAGTGTAATCTTCGATAGACTTATCGATAAATATTCATATCTGAACAACAACAATTTTTCTTGAGATATACAGAGAAAGACAGATAAAGTATTGCAAGTTATTTCCTGAAGCCATTGCAAACTCAAATATTCTTAGGTATTAAGATACAGTTAAATTTTACATTTACAGTGTAAAATATTCTGGGGATGGATTTCTTAAGGGTAGAAAGAGCTACCATTTTTTTTTTTTTTTTTAATGAAATGATATTAATATTCGAGAAAATTTTACAACTTTCATCTAAGGCATTTTTTTATTTCGTTTACTTATTTTGGAAATTCATTTCTGTTCATTTCATTTCTTTATTTATCTTAATACCTGAGTTGATATGTGCAATATTTTCGGAGAAAGTAATTTGTAATACTTTATCTCTGTCTTATATACGTACAGTTTATTTTGTCTAAGATATATACAATAGAAATATATTGAATTCATGCAACGTTAATATGTAATGACTAGTATAAATGTAATGAAATGAAATGATAATGAAAATTTGTCGATAATTTAAACTGATATAACTTCGTAAGAAAAAATCAGATAACCACATGCATGATCTCATTCTGAAACGTAAAGTCTAATAGTCACAAGTTTGCTTTTTTCTAATTTTACATCATGCAGCAAGTGCGAAAGTAAGGATACTTTTTTTCTCGAAAATTGTTGAAATTCAATCGCGTGTGAAAACATCAAAAAAAACTTTCTTCTTGACTAAATCCACTATGATCTTGAAGATTGAAATCTTCCCCTTACGACGGATCTTTAAAATTTGCTGTGCGATTTTTTTTTTCGACACTTTATTAAACTTTGTATATCAAGGTTAAACGACAAAAAGTCGAGAAATCTTAACATTTCTTCATCTATTCCCAATATTCAAAATTCAGTAAAATTCTGGAAAAAATCGTATGGCGTATACCCTCATCCATTAGTTCACTCCTAACTGCCACCTGCCATATGAGAGTTGGAAATTAGAATGAAGATGATGTAGGCAATTTTTTCCAGCATTTCATTGAACTTTAATCATGGAAATGTTAAGATTTCTTGAATCTTTGTTGTTTAACCCTGATATTCAAAGCTTAAAAAAAGTGGTAGAAAAAAATTGTATAGCAGGTTTTAAAGCAGGATCGTTGTAACACGCGTGTCCAATCTACAAAATCATAGTGAATTAGCCTTAGAAAAAAATTTTTTTAATGTTTCTACACGCAATTAAGTTTTTACAGTTTTCGAGAAAAAAGTATTCTTATTTTTTCCATTCGCTGCACGATCTAAAATTATTCTCGAAAAAAACGAATTTGCAATTGTCAAAGTAGGCTTTATGTTTCAGAATGAGACCATGTAGGTTGCTATATGATATTTTCTTACCAAGTTACATCAGTTTAAATTATCAACAATTTTTCATTGTCATTGATATTGTTATGTTTGATCATTGTACGTCATAAAAATTTTTCTTATACGTATAAAAAAATCTTATATGTATCAAAAATAGTGTTTCAATTTAGTGTGTTTAGTGTATTCATTCAGTGTTTGAATTTAGTGACAGTGAAAACGGACAGTCGCTCCAGATATCGCCGATTCACAAAACCTAGCAGAATAGCAAGCTGGTTTTCACGCTCTAAGAACGAATCTTACGAATCGCCTATTTGTTCCCTTCTGAAGAACCTATTCACCAAGTGGCGTGGAAGGACACATACGAGTCTCGCTCATTTAATCAATGCTTTTTCATTTAAAAATTAACACGACATAACGAAATTAATAGCACACACCTAACAACCTAATAGGTTGACGGATAATATCTAACTCAAATTAACTAGCTGTATTTTTTTTCTTGTCATTTTTGTCGCTTATTCTCAAAATGTATTTAATTGATGCTATTTTGACATACAAGTCCACTATTTAATTCTTTGATATTTTATAAATCTACTAGTTTTATTTAATTTTCTAAGAATGCGAGTTAAATAAAAATGTCTTTTTCTTTAATAAAAATTGGAACTCAAAATTAGAGAATAAAGGAAGAACAATATTAACTTACCTAAAGAAAGGAACATAGAATAAAAGGAAATCAAATGTATTAGTGAAATATATTATGAATAAATATTTCTCCGATTTAAAACTGAGATAATTATTCAAAATACGAGCGATCTCGCCGATTTCAATGATCTTAAAACACGTTATCAGAAACATTATAAGCTTTCCTCTATATTGGTTCCACAACTCGGCTTTAATTACCGAGACGCAAAAATATTTTTAATTCTATATATTCAGTGATATATCGCTTGGAACTGGAGGAATACGTTATTATACTCCAACCTTCTCTGTTCAAGAGGTTGTTAACCTCTGTACCCTCGGTATTTTAATTCAGAGATTTTATCTCTGGCTCCCAGCTCTTGCTTCTTGTAGCACACTTTTGTAGCAAGGACAAATCTGAGATCCTGCTACATGCTTCACCTTGTGGCCTTTCATGCCTTTTTCTGTACATAGGAAACATCTAGTTTCCTGCTTGCATTGCACGATGCGGTGCTCAAAACTGCCGCATCTTCTACATCTCTCCTGGCCGCTACTTAGCTCTTTACAAACATAGCTAATGTGCCCGAAATTGTGGCATCTGAAACACCTCACCACATTGGGCAGCACCTTTACTACAGCGGAATTAAAACCGGTCCTGAATCGGCAACCGTCTATGTTGCGCGGTAAAAGCGCATTTGGAACTTCAATAATTCCCCGCAAGGTCCCTGTGTACGTCGAGTACAAGCTCTTGACCTTCACCTCCTGCACAGAGGTAATGCCAAAGGCCTCGGAGAAGCTTCTCTGAACATCTTCCTTCTCCACGAATGGATCTAAATTTCTCACTTCTAAGGTAGTGATGGAACGCAAAGCGTTCACCTGAAACGTATCGCCTATAGCCGTTTTAACTTCTTCCGCTATCTTCTGAGATTGGCTCTCCTTGTTCAACTCAAAGAGAACGTGGCCCTCCCGAGTTTTCCGTACTCTGAGTGTGCCACGTAGAATATCCTTGGCTTTATCAAGCACCTGCCTATAGATATTTTTAAAGTCCGCTTCCTTCTGGACCTTAACCATAATCGCCTCGTTTTTTCTCTTCAAGAGAGGCTTCTCATTCGTTTCCTGCGCTCTACGCAGGGGAAAAGCTGCAATCGAAGCTTGCGCCGTTTTCATCTTTTTCCGCGACTTCGAAACTTCGATGTATACCGTGTCCAACTGAGGCAGCAAAGTATCGCTGCGTTTGCCAAGCTCCGACTTCTCATTCCGCAGATTTAGCGGACTTTGAGTCTCCGCGTTCTCGGTCCTTAGAGGCATATATTTCCCCTGAGCACCTTTCCCCTGCACAGGGTTCTCATCTTTTTGAGGTTTTTTCACAGGATCTTTCTTCTTTTTGAAGACGGTTTCCGTGAGAAAAAGACTCTCCTTCTCCTTTTGGGGTTTAGATTCCTCCCTCGGTTCTCCATCGGTCTTGTCCACCATGTGTACACAAAACGCTTCATCAGTTTGTATACACATGTCGGTTCTCTCTAACCTCTTTGCCATAGTCTGGACTGCCGCATTTCTAACCATAGCTTTCTTAACTTGGGCAAGAAAATACGCGTCAGCGTCGCTATTATGCAGTACAAATTTCACCAAGTTGCCGGTAGAATAAATCTTCCAAATCTCGGTACTCAGGTTCATGATCTCCTGCACGGCGACATCCATTACTTTCATTTGATTTCGAATGGTCTCGCTACTTTTCTTGAGACTCGCAATATTCCGAGTATTGTCATTCCGGGTATAATCATAAATTTGTTTATTTGCGTCACAAATTTTCTCCAGTATATGTCGGAAGATCGCCAGCTTTTCTATGATGAAATCGTAGATCATTATCAGGTCCAACTGTATGGTTTTCTGATGGCCAACCGATTTTGTATCTTTCTCTTTCCCCTCAAACACAGACTGTTCCTCGCCAGAACCTTTCAAGACATCCTCCCTTACTATAAAGTTCTCTCCTGAAGCTTTTATATAGCTCACCGAAGGTGAGACAAGCTCACCGTCAAGATTCGTCCCACTTCCAGGATCTTCAGACCCTATCTCGATGTCCCTTTCAACAGGGGTCAAAGGTGGAAAGTCTCTGTCCAGTTTTAGGTCCAAGGCGTTCTTCCTCCTTATGGACCCGTGTTGAGACCGCCTGTTCGCTAAGCTCGTGCAAGAGCTGGGACCCGCTTTATGGAGAGTATCACGATTCTCCCCTAAACATTCGTCTTTCTTCCCAGACGTAGGTTCCGACAAGGGAGGCCTGGGGTCCACCTCCCCTGCGGATGCCTTGCAGTCGACAGATAACCGTCGGGGGTGACCTGCTCGCTCACCAACCACACCGACGGGTACTGGGGTGTCCCTCCCCTGCACCGTAAACTTCTTTTTTCTTTTGTCTGAACCACCCATAGTTTAGTTTAATTAATGAATTTTTCGTACAACAAAAATAACCCCTCATGACTGACCACTCACTCTTTCGCATCCTGTTTCAGATGACCGAGGTCGCCCAAAACAGGATCCCGGGGAGCCCCACGTGGAGGTGAGGTGAGTGGATCCTTTGACCGGAGCAGGTCTCCAACTTCGCCGAAGAAACCCCGCCCACAGGCAAGTACCCAGAATTTTTCAAAGGTAAGTACCAGATAGGACTTAAGGGAATCATCAGCTTCATCGGAGTTTTTGACCCTATCTGACAATGTACCGGGCCGAGACCCGGGGTGCGTCTTCAGAGTCGGGAAAACCCACTCCAGCCTTCGCTCCCCAGGTTTAGGTTTGTCTAACCCAAACCTAATCCAAACCAGCCGACAACGCTTTCATCTTATTAAAGTAAGTCGCGAAAATAAATAATTCTTAATGAAATAAATTGCCGAAGAAACCGAAATGCCACTTACTGAAATGTACATTCTCAAATATAACGTTACAAATCCAAAAATCATAAAAATCGGTGAAGTTTGTCCTTTAACAAGTACGAAATATTTTTTTATAATTATCTCTTACAAACTATGGTAAGCGGCGATAACATGTATAGGAAAAACTTCCTTACAATCATGCTTCCGATGACATATTTCAAGATCATTGAAATCACTTCTGTTCTAAATAATTAGCGAAAATGATTCTATATTCTTTTTCCTTTCTTTTTTATAGTAATAGACATGGAAGATCCATACTAAAGACTTTATTTATGTATCTTTTCATTTTTAACCATTTCCAAATTGATTATATAAAAGAATAACAGCAATTTAACGCAGAATAACGTTTTAATAATCTATAACTTAAAATTAAGAAAAAATAAAAATGTTTATTTATTTTACTATTTTCTTAATATCGTTAAAATTCAAGCAAAAAAATTATCATAAAATAAAATTAATATTTGAAGAATTCATATTACAGAATTAATTTAAAAATTTAATGAAACACGGAAATATAGGAATTCATACTTTATTTGTGATAGTAAATGTACAACAACTACTTCTGAAAACAATTTTATTTTATAGAAATCCCAATTACTGTGACCGTTGCAACTACATTTTTCAACGTTGATATTACATCAGAATAAGATGGAATTATCTAAAGGCATTATCTGGTATTACAGTTTACAATCAAACCTCTATTATTAATCTGTGCTTAGAAAAGGAATGGTGTATACATATAAAAACGAATAATGCCCTAGATAACAGAAACATTATTTTAGTTGAATCTAGGTATAAAAGCACAATAGAAAAGTTAAAATATTTTTAACGTCACAGATAAATGCATTGTACAGCAATTATGTAACACTCACTAATTATGGATCTTAGAAATATAGGTAAATGTTTACGAATTTTATCCTTATTAGATACTAAAATATAAATAGTACACACAGAAAAATTATTTTATGAGACGCACGATTCATACATGTACGTTTTACTGTGCTATACCATTTAATACCATTAAAGGATCGATATTTCATGGAAAAGATGTGGATCTAAATCTTTTGTCATTTGTTTTATATTCGATTTTGATATAGGAAAAGTATGTTGCTTATTTCAGGTAATAAGGAATATAAAATTGAAAGATTTTTTTATATTAAAAAAATAAAAAGGAAGAAATCATGTTTTAATAGATTCTATTTCATTGCATATTCCAATTTCAATTGTAATAAAAAAAATACAATACAATTGTTTTGTTAATTCCAAATTCAAATAGATTTAGTACATTTTTTTAAATATGAAAACTAAATCTACAACATTAAGGAAAAATGACGATGATTAAAATGAATGAGTTATACATTAAAGATAGCAACAGTTATATGCAACAGCTAAATAAAAATGCAGTCATTAGAGTATCTAGTTGAACAATCTACAGTTCTCCACAATCAGTTATTACAATTTTTTTGGAAGTCTTTCCACTCTGAGATCCCATACCTTCCAACTGAAATTTAAAAAAAACATATATTATATTGTTTCCTATAAAAAAAGAAAAAAGTAGAAGTAATGAAATTATTAATCGTTTGAGTCTCGCTCGATCGCGCTGTTCAGATTTCATATCATAAAAACCAATTACATTTGAAAAAGAAACTCAAGTTTGGTGATTTATCAAACATATGTTTACCAAGATAATTTTTTACAAAATATATTCAACGTCTTCAAATGAACCTAAATAAGAATTTTTATACATTTTCTACATTTTTTAATTTATTTTTATACATATAAAAATCTCTATTAATTCTTTTCTCTATTATTAACAATCTCTATTAATTATTCTTTTCACGTCTCAAAAATTAACTAAATTGACAAACACTATACTTGATAAATCTTCAAAGTTGATTTGCTCAAAAATGAAATGTCAAACCAAAGAATTTTGTTGTATATTTTTTTCTCATTGTTTTGTGAGGAATCATTCCCTGTCCACTTGTACATATTATTCCGAGGCACTTTATATCACAATATAAACCATAAACTAATATATCACTAACAAAGCATTTCAATTAATAAATTATTAATCAATTAATCAATTAATAATTAAATTTTGTAACATTTATGTTTATCAAAGTACGTCGGATGTAAATAAAATTTTCACTTCGCTAAGTGTTTTTCGACAAAATTTATTCAATGAGACTCAAACAGTTAATTTACTCTTTATTAAATTATAATATAGAAAAATGAAATAAATATTTGTTAAAGAAAATATTAACAAATAAAAAAAAATATATACCTATTAAATGATAAAATATTTTATGCTATATTTATTTATAAAATGAAATAAAATATAATATGATTACATACTTTTCTAACAACATCCATTCCTTCAACAACTTTTCCAAATACAACATGTTTGCCATCAAGCCAACTTGTTTTAGCGCTAGTGATGAAGAATTGACTACCATTTGTATTTGGACCAGCATTTGCCATGGAAAGAATACCAGGTTCGGTATGTTTCAATGAGAAGTTTTCATCATCAAATTTCGTACCATAGATGGATTTTCCACCGGTACCATTATGGTTAGTAAAATCACCTCCTTGGCACATGAAGTTTGGTATCACTCTATGAAAACTACTTCCTTTATAACCAAAGCCTTTTTCACCAGTACAAAGTGCTCGGAAATTCTCTGCTGTTTTAGGCACAACATCGCTTCTCAACTAAAAATTTAATTAATGCACTTCTTTTAAAATATTGAAATAAACAAAATATTTTAATAAATATTTTAGAATTATTAATATATCTCTCTTTATGTGCAGAATTACATTTGCATTCAAATAAATTATATTAATTTTCATGTATAATAATAAATTATATTAATTTTCATGTATTATCTAATAATAAATAAAATATCATACACTATAAAGATACCATAATCTACAAGTCATTCTTTTAAAACATACTATATAGATTTGATTTACTTACTGAAGTGAAAAATTCCTCTATTTATATAACAACATATACGTAACATCAATAACTAAACGTATATTATAATAATTACATTACGGTACAATTAGAAATACTTAGATCAAAATGCAAATGAAATTATTATCACTTCCACTCTATCTATGACGCGTTCGTAATTTATTCATGCTTTTTTTATTTTTTCCTTACGTTAAATTGCGAAAAATGATGAAAATCACAATACTTCAAGCTTACATAGTACTGGAACTATCAAAATAATTCGTAAAAATATATTCCACGATTACACGTTACGAGTTTCACCTGTACGGAATACGTAATCAAACGTGTCAGCGACAATCAGTGAATGGAAAATTTTACGATTCAGAGCAGATCAGAAGAATTAATAACGCAATACACGTTACATCTAAATCATCTAAATTATACTTTGCTACCACGAACAAAAAAATTAAAATTTCATCTTCTTAATGTGAAATAACAACTTAGAATAATAAATATACGCGTAATAACAATTTCTTGGGAAATCTTATTCGAAAATCGTTTCACATAACCGGCTTTCGAGAAAATCCAAGATGGCCAATCATGCCAGGATTCCGATGGTAACACGTTTAAGAAATGGAAAGCACATCAATTTTGAACAATTTCTACTTACTTCCATTACGATGCGGCCCACGGGCTTATTATCCGCAGACATGTCGAAGAAAACACGCGGCAAACCCATTTTTTCTGCAACGACGGCAAAACTTCGTACGAGCACTGCAAAAGATGAACGTCTTGGTCGGGCGGTGGCTCCCAAATGGCTCGAATGGCTGAAGGTCGAATCAATTGACAGCCGGCAGATCGATCTCAACGCCATGTTCAAAGCCTGTTACTTGGAAAATCAATTTCAAACGACGAGATCTCTCTTTTCTGCCGAGTAATACCGTTTCTATCGTTTTCGAAAGATAATCAGTATTTCATGAAGTTATTATGTAATAAAACCGCGATTTTCGGCTTAATATCGATTGACAATTATTGAACAGCAAACGTGCTCCCTACAATCGACCAATCGAACATAACACCTTCCATGACCATGTGAAATAACCAATAGCATGCTTTGTTTCTTATCATGTAACAGAAAGAACAAATAACATTCTATTAAAATTCATGGAATTAACAAGAAATAATTGAAATGAAATTCTACATCAAAAATATTTGCTAAAAAACATTAGTCACATTAATAAATTTATTTTCGTGATTTTCTAATTTAAAATTAAGTATGTATTACAGCGAATTATTCTAGTTCCGAATATTTATATGACTGATATTTTCATATGGTTGCGCCTTAAAGTTTTGTATCGTGAGTGACAAAAAGATTTATATTATGGAATTTTGTATTGAAAAATTATTCTCTATGTTATAATACAACATATAATAATATATATCGTTCAATAACTGGATATATTTTGTAATTTAGAAATTATTATAAATATCTATTATTAAAAATATCGTAGTTTAAATTGAAAGGACGTAAAATCTCTATTTGTTTTATTATGAACAATTTGTTCATTTCTTTAGTATTAAAAAATGTTGCATTTAATTTAATTTAATTGGATTTAATTTCACTTAAAATATTATTTAAAGTGTCTACAATATTGTCTATAATAATAATGTCTATAATATTGTCAAATATTTTTTTTTGTTATCATTTTTTTTTTTTTTAATTCAGTGTTTTATTGCCAAAATCTTGCTTTATTTCTTAATGACAAAATAGCATACAATTATACTAAACTCATTTGATATGATTAAAGGATGTTATGTCACGTATTGCCTTGGATCTTGATTGTGGACCAATCATGATACTGTTCAATTTTATTGTACATTTACGCCGGACATGACGTTTGGATATTACTGCCTCCATAGTGGAGTAAAAAATATATCACTTGAATTTTTTATATTAATGTATTATTCATTTGAATCACATTTAAACAATCGATTATTTTGTATTTAAAACTATTTTTCTTAAAAATATACACACTTAAATGCATCAAAATATTAAATATCAGCGTTTAATAAGAAAATGAATATTTTCGTTGAATCTCAATCTAACGAGTATACTTCCTATATATACTAATGTACAACAGAATCAAATTAAAATTTGAGCTAATTTTTTTTATGATCATTTAAATTATAATTATTTACCTATAAACAATAATTTAGGGAAATTGTCATAAAAATTTGAAGTAACATTTATATTATATAGAAATTATTATTAATATGAAAAGAATTTTAAATTTAATTCACTTCCTGTACGAAGTAAGATTTGATTTAAGTAGTTATCGCTGAAAAGATGGCGCCCAAGTGAAGGACGCTCAATTAAGAGTAGTCAAGATCTTGTTAAATTTATATTATTAATAATATTACATATTTCTTAGGAAATGAGTAATCTTTCACCATTTGGAGGTGGTAAAAATCCACCGTGGGTTCGTAATGCAGGTAAGATGATTTTATTATTAATATGTATTTTATATTGTCGCCCCGTGTGCAAGTCAATGTTGCCAAGTTTCTATTACAATTTATACAAGTCAATAAATATATTTGTAAAATACTCCTTACTAATATTTTATGCAATATCAAAATATTAAAAATTAACTTATAATACATATTTTTTCATAATAAATACAGGATGGTTTATGATAGAAACAAACTATTTAATGTTTTATGTTTAATTTATAATTATGTTTGAAACAAATGAACTTTTTATTTCATTTGTATGTAGATAAATTTTATTCACATTTATATAAATTTTATACCCATTCTTGCTGGAATAATCATTGTTTAACATAAATATAAATTCTTTAAATATTTTTATAATTATTGTTCAGTTTGTATTCTTCTAAATGAAGTTTGTTATATTTGATTATATGTATTGTGTATATAAATTTAAGATGTTCATGAAATATTACGAATAAATAAATAAATTTATTAATATTATAAATTATGCAATATGTATGTAATATAATATAATATATCCATTTAGAAATAATGAAAAACAATGTATTTAAATAAATTTTAAATTTTGGGTTTTTTACTTTTATTTATACATAGGGCAAGGAATTCAAAATATTCAACAACAAATGTTAGGTCAAGCAATGGGTAGTATAGGTGGGCAACCTATGGTTCAATATCAACAACAGACTCAACAAGTTTATCAACAAAGTTTAGGATTACAACAGGTCAGTATAAACAATAAATCATATTATATATAAATAATATTATAAAAGTATATGGTATCCTGTTAATTACAATTTTAAGTTTTATTACATTTTATCTGATATGTATTTTGCTTATTGTTAGGTACATTTTAAATTATTAAACACACATTTTCTAGTCTTTTTAATAGGTTATGTTTAACAATCTACAGTTATTATAATTTTTATTCATGTACTTTAATTAATATGTATCTTATAAAATAGCCCAATATAACAATGGCTTCAATGGCAACACTTGGATCTAACTTGCCATCTGGTATAGCTGGTCAGCTATATCCACAAGTTGCCACTGTTTCTTATCCACCACCAAGAGCATTAAATACAAATGCATTTCAACCTTCTGTGGCTGGTGTGCCACAACAAGTTCAACAAAATGTACCTTCATCATCTACGAAACAAAGAGTTTTCACCGGCACAGTTACACAAGTATATGACAATTTTGGTTTTGTAGATGAAGATGTATTTTTTCAAACAAAGTAATGATACTATACAAAAATGCTTTCATTATATTTGTAATTTGAAATCTATGATAAGTGATATCAAAAAATTTTTCCAGTGCATGTGTTAAAGGATCTAATCCTGTTGTGGGTGATAGAGTACTAGTGGAAGCATCGTATAATCCATCCATGCCATTTAAATGGAGTGCCACTAGAATACAAGTACTCCCTATGGGAAATAATAATAATAACACTAATACGCAACAAAATAATCAAGCCACTCGTCAACAACAACAGCAGTCACAACCACAACAGAATCGTACCTCAGGAACATACAATGCTGTTCCTCCGCCTGCTGAAAATGCCAATAATAGGTAATTTATACTAGATAAAATTACACATGTTTTATTAATAATAGATCTTGATTATATACAAGACTTGGGTATGTCATTTAAATATTTTTTGTAATGTTATATGTAATATAATAGTTTTTTTTATTGAAAAAAACATAATTATTGTTAGATTCACAACTAGTGCAACAAATACTAATACAGCTAGTAATCGAAATAAAGTTGGAAGAGTAAGAGAAAGATCTCCGCGAGAACGAAAAAATGAGGAAGAAGAAATCGAAAGAAAAAGACGTCGTGAAGAAAGAATTAGAGAACGTGAGAAAAAAGAGGAACGTAGTCCATCAAGAACTAGAAGAAGTAAGTCCCCAAGACCAAGACGACGTACTAGAGTTGTACCGCGCTATATGGTACAAATACCAAAAATAGCATTGGATTTGTAAGTATATTTTTTGTGCAATATTACTAGAATTATATGATTACACGCTCCATTTTTATAATATGTTTAAAACTGGACTTGTTATTTTAGACCTGAAGCAGATGTACTTGAGATAAGAAGGCGGTATCAAAATATGTATATTCCTAGTGATTTTTTTTCTACTAATTTTCGATGGGTTGATGCTTTTCCACCACATATGCCATTTGCTCTTAATAAACCATGCTCTTTTCATGTCATGCATAAGGATGTTGATCCTTGTACAGAAAATTCAGCAGTACTAGAACCTTCAGATGCTGATTATCTTTTCTCCGCGAAGGTTTGTTGTAATTTTTTAAATTACTAATATCTTTTAAATATTTTTTTAAAATTATCATTTTAATATATTTAAAAAAAATAAGAATACATATGTAGAAAATTTTTTTTATGATTTTAATAATGCCTTATCAATAAACAATGACTATAATTATTTTATGAATTTTAATGAAATGAATGAACTCTAATGAATGTTACTTTAGTATTTAACTATTACTTTTACTTGTACTATTGATAATTAATTGACAGTTAATTTATTAATAAATAAATGATATGGTTATATTTATATTCGTTAAATTATATATATTATGTTATAGGTTATGTTGATATCTATGCCTGCCATGGAAGAAATTTATAAACGGTGTTGTGGTGTATCTGAGGATAGAGATCCAGACCGTGATTATGTACATCCTACACGTTTAATAAATTTCTTAGTAGGCTTACGGGGTAAAAATGAAACAATGGCTATTGGTGGACCATGGAGTCCTTCTTTGGATGGTCCTAATCCTGAAAAGGATCCATCAGTATTGATTAGAACAGCAGTAAGGACTTGTAAAGCTCTCACGGGGATAGATCTATCCAGTTGCACTCAGTGGTACGGTTCTTCAAATATTGATATTCCTTTCTACTTTTATTGTTATCTTAAATGGAATTTAAAGCACTTCATAGAAAGAGCAACGTGATGCTATCTAATTTTTCTGCCCATTATTGTTTCATTATTCGCCGATACATTATCAAGTTACTGAAAACAAAAAAAAAATTAATACAAAAATTAAAAACTATCATCGATTCAAAATTTTGGACTCGTCGGCTTCGTCCAGCATTCTATGTTGTATAAATGTATCATATACATATTTTTTTTACGGTATATAACGTATATAATTGTGTTAAAGACATGAGATAAAATGTTATAGCCTTAAGAAAGATCCGGCAGGTGTACCATCCTTGAAAGAAAGTAACTTCTATGCTAGTTCTGAATTGATAACTAAGATTGTAGCTCAATCTCTACAGAGGAGGTATGTATTTGTTCTATACACGACCGACCGATGGAGATTGCTGCACTGGATCCTGTATCGAGCACCCAGATGATATTCAAGCAGTCGTGGCAGACAGATCATCACTATTGTTCTATGATCGTTGTGACCCACTCAGTTGTGCTTTATCAAACGGTCTACAATGTGCGCTGTGTGTGGCTTTGTATGCAGTGCGTGGGCTTTACGAACAAGCGAACGAACACTTAGCATATAAGGCAAAGCTAAGCGGCATTAACCTGAGTTGACGTTTGGGTATTGTTTTTCCTTGCGGCACAGGTACCGCTTCCTGGAACTCTACTACAGACGTGCAGAAACTACCCACAAGTCGGGGCGAGTGGTGCCCTCTCGCGTTGAAACCGTCATACTATTTCTCCCAGATGTTTGGAGCTGTGTACCCACTAAATTGGAATGGGATGGTCTACAACTCAGCTATAAGAAACAACTGGAACGAAAATTGCTGCGTGCTGCCTCTAGCCCCGACGATTTGGATGCTGCCAATGACACTGATGAGGCTGCCATCGCTGATCAAAAGGCACTGCCAACATCATCCCATATTACTTTTACCTTTTTTATACATTATAATCGTGCAACTGTTTTCCCATTACTAAACTGGATTTTCAATATAGGCTGTACTTACTCATTGATCCTATCGTCAAGTGTTTGTTCGTTTTCTGAGCATTTAACTATTTATTGTTAATTTAAATCACTTAAATGGCTTTTTTTTATTGAATGTTATCATATTATATAAGTAGTTAATTGTTGTATCAATATTTCAATTTCTTTTATTATTTTAATGCATTAATATATGTTGTTTTTATAAAATGACTCAGTAACATATGAATAATGTTGTGATATTGATTAAATCTTAAATCAAATAATTTGTTATCTAAAGATATTTACATATTTATTTATGTATATACAAATATATATCATATATCATTCTTGTTTTTAATACCATTAAGAATTATTTCTTAAATATCTATGTAAATTAATGTAATGTGCATAGTATAAAAATTTTCATATTTCAGACTTTAAAATATTTTAAGTGCTGAAAAATTATAAAGCAAAATTAACATAACAAAAAAGATCAATGAGTAATGTATTGCAAGTATTCCCTTAGCCACTGGCAGTCACATTGCATTAACAAGAGAAGCAAGCAAGCCTAGCTCGGAGAAGAGCGCAGCTGAGCCATTCCCTTTCCTGAAACCTTCACCATCATTGATAAATCATTCGAAAATTTCATTTGATAATCGTTATATACAACATTATTGATATTATCCATAACCTATCAATCACACAGACACCAGAGCCAGGACACTATGAGAATCTAGCAGTTACTTGAGTCATACTTGAAGGTCATCGTGAATGAAGAACCGTGTATATCATTAAAATGTGAGAGAGTGATGAAAGAATGAAGAGGGAGTGGTTTCGTTTCGTTATATAGGGGCTGCTTCTGTTTTGTAGTTTTTTATTCCGTTCTTTACTTCTATAACATAATGCGTGATTTCTTTTTTCCAGGATGATCCAGTGCCAGAGAAGAAGGACCCCACTCATTACTCTGAATTGGATCCAAAGTCTATGAATGTTAGTTTCTCAGTGTAATTAATTATAAACATTTTTGTTATTTTACATAAATTAATAACTTAATAAATTGGTTTTATAAAGGTAAATGAACTACGGCAAGAATTAGCAGCCCGTAATTTAAATTGTAAAGGTTTGAAATCACAATTACTTGCAAGACTTATGAAAGCAATAGCTTCAGAACAAGCAAAAGAAGAAGGACGACAAGGCGATATAGAAGAAAATGAAAAAGATATTTCACCTCCACCAAAAGAAGAAGAGGATAAAAAATTTAAGGATATTAAAGACGTAAATTTCTTTGTATATATTTTATAAATATATTCCACGGAGAAAATAATAATTACAGCAAAATAATTTTTTGTATGCAGCACGATGAAGATAGAAGAAAACTTTGTGAACGTGAACGTAGTACTCTTGAAAAACGATATACTTTACCCGAATCATCTCATATTATTGTTCATCCTTCCAGAATGGCTAAAAGTGGAAAATTTGATTGTACTGTTATGTCTTTAAGCGTGCTTTTAGATTATAGACCAGAAGATACAAAGGTAACTTTTCTTACCCTCTTGAATTGCCCACAATTAGTATCATATAAATAAGTAATTTTCTTTTTTTTTTTATTCAGGAACATTCCTTTGAGGTATCATTATTCGCAGAACTTTTTAATGAAATGTTAATGCGAGATTTTGGCTTTCGAATTTATCGAGCATTATGTAATTTACCTGAGAAACTGAAAGAAAAAGACGAAGATAAAAAAAAGGACAAAAAAGATGATAAAAGAGACGAGAAAAAAGATGATAAAAGAAAAGATGATGATAAGAGATGTAATAGAAAGGATGAGAAACGAAGAGAAGGAAGCAAAGATAAAAAAGATGAAAAAGATGCAAAAAGTAAAACAGATGATAGGGATCGGGAAAAAGAAAAAAATGATGATGATGACGACGATGAGGAAGATGAGTCTGATGTAATTATAAACATGTTATTAAATATATATACATACAAGTTTTCTAGGGAAAATTAATAATAATTACATTTTGTAGGATGATGATTCAATTAAAGATGGTAGAAGAGATAAAGAAAAAGATGGAAGAAAAAGAAAAATAAAACTGTATACACATGATCCTTATCTCTTACTATCTTTCGTTTATTTCGATCAAACTCATTGTGGTTATATTTTTGACAAAGATATAGAGGAACTTATTTATACTTTAGGACTAAATTTATCAAGAGCTCAAGTTCGTAAGTTAGTACAAAAAGTTGTAACAAGGGATTCTTTGCATTATCGTAAGTTAACAGATAGGTCAAGAGAAGATGACATGAAGGAAGAAAAAAAAGATGAAAAGGAAAGTGATAAAGCTGATTCTATCAGGGTAGAGAATGATGAAGAAATATTACGATCATTAGCACTTGGTACATTTTAAATGTTATTTTAAGTATTATATTTCAATATTTGATAGACAACGATTAATATTCTATTACTTTTATACTTTATACTAGGAAATAAAAAATTATTACCTGTGTTTGTTGGAAGTGGACCACCATCAAAAAGAGCACGTAGAGAAGATGCACTTGCAGAACAATCTGAAGAATCGATTGTATCAGAAGGTTTTGTTATGTATAAAGGCTCTTTATTAGATGTAGAAAAACTTGTTAGCCAATTAAAAAGATCAGAAAAGGCTCGGCTGGATACGGAAGAACGTCTAATGGAGTTACAACATGAATTATGTGTAGTAAATGAAAGATCGACAAAACAAACAAACAATATTAAAGCTCTTTCTGAAGATTTAAAAATATACAAAGATAAATTAAGAAACACAGATGAAAAACTTAGAAAAGTATCGGTGAGTGTCACTTCTTTTAATTTTTTTTTCTTTTCATTTTCTTTTTCGTTTCTTATAATGTAATATTTAAATTATTTAAATAAATTTTTTTTCTGTACAGTCTGAATGCCATACATACCTTACAGCCGTAAAAAATATGTATCATATAGCAGCAAAAATGATGCAAGCAGATACGAAAAAAGTAGAAATTGTAGAAATTCAAGATGAAAAAGTTAGCGAGGTTAACGGATCAGAAGTTGAAACTAAATTTAAAACGGACACAAGATGGGGTGATAACAAAGTTTTAATTAAAAAAGAATTTGTAGAAACGGATAAAGACAAGAAATGCGACAATAAAGTCTCAATTAAAAAGGAAATAACAGAAACTGATAAAGAAAAGAAATAAAAGATAAAGAAAGAACGCACTTTCGTCAAATTCTAACTACATTAATAACAAGGAAATTAAAAATGTGCTTAACGACAAATAGTACGAGATGGTGATTGGGACAAATTTATGCATATGAAAGTAAAAATGACTTTAAAGACTCTGTTTTATAACATTTTTCACTCAGTGACAATATGTAATAAATCTGTTTCTGTGCATATTATGTTAGAGAATATTATGTAAGGAAGATCACGCGTTCAAGTAGCATAAATGAGTGATACTAAATAATGCAGATGTTAGAACGAATCATTACACTGCAGTTTTTCATATACATTTGTCGAATTTTATGCAGATAGACAATTCTTAAGGATCTTTGAAATACTAATGTAACTTTGATTTGCCATAAAGTGCCAGGTACTGATAGACAGCTGTATATCGTGATTTCAAAATACGTTCACATTGAAAATTGTCATTAATACTATAAGTATTAATATATATCTAAATTTTTACCATATTCTTGAATAGATCTTGAATAGATCTAAATAATTATCGACCAACTTCTTAAAATTAGTAGTCCTTTTCCCTTTTATTCTGTTTCTTGATGAACTGTGATTTATTCAGGATATTTATTATAATTTTTTTGGATGAAATTTGAGATAAAACGTTAGCATTGTTGCTTTCACATGTATGGATTATAATAAATTTATAATCCTTAAGTGACCTTAGATAAATATCATTTATTATTGGTATTTTTCTTTTCAAAAGCAACAATTGGTTAATATGTTTGATAGTGGTGATGTATTTGTATTATGTTATAAGTGTATTTATTGATTTGTACACAGGACACAGTATAATAAAATAAAACTTTTTCGCAATATGTACAACACTAACTGTAAAGTATACAGTAATGATTAATTTATGGGATATCGTTAGCATTATTTTTCTTAAATTGCGTACAAAATGAAACTTTGTCTATTTTATAATTGTAATTACTGTAAATACGTTCACAGCGAGAAATACCTAAGAATAATTTGAACACCAAAGTATCTGTAACCAATTTAATATCTAATGAACATACTTCTATACATATATATAAATCACAATAATTTATTTAAAAACAATTATAAAAATATAGCATTACAATTTTTTAATATACATTTACGGCTTTTATTAATATTATTTATCTTAATGTAAATTGTACCAAAATTCACATTATGATGATTTCATTTGATAGAAAGATGAGTGCTCATGATGTCCCTTACTTTGAACACACATTGCTCATCATATAAATATAACTCAAACACTCATAAAAAAGGAGAAATATGACTTTTGAATATTAGTTATCTTGTGTTTTATTAACAAAACGTCAAGGACACTATTTTGTATAAAATAATCTATTGTAAAGACATCCTTTTGTAGTTTATTAGAAAATTGCATTCTTGTCAAGAAGCCGTTAATGTGTTGAGGGTAAATTTATAGATACAGAATGATAAATAAGGTATATATGAAATTATAAACATTGTAAAATTATTTCCTTGGCAAATGATACTTTGAAATATGAGGAGACACACAAATAAAATAAATTTTAAACACTCTATGTGCTTTTTATTTATACCTTTATATATTTATTATAAAAGAATTTTGATCAAAAATTCCCTATTATGAAAACATTTTGATATATATATATTTACCTGAATATGTAAATACATGAATATCTAAATACATCATATATAAATACGTGTATATATCGATACGTGAATGTATAAATACATGAATACATCAATACGTGAATATATAAGCATATGAATGTATAAATATATGTATATATAAATACATGAATATGTAAGTATATGTAAATATATAAACATATACATATATATATACATGAATATATAAATACATCTATACATGAATATATAAATACTTGACCACATAAATACATAAATTTATAAGAAATACAGAGATGGTAAAAGACCAATGATTTTTTTAGCGCACTTTGGAGAACGGCCGAGGACGGTGAAGTTAATCAAGTAGTGAATGCAAGTGATATCGTTGACTAACATTGACTTTGTCTGTGCTAACAAGACAAATCAGACATCCAATGATTTTGTCTCATGTTTGGGAAGTCACCTAACTACCGTACCATTTTCGGTATTTTGGAGAAAAATGGATGTTTCAACAATAAATGAAAGTAAATTTACCCAATTATCAATTAAACAATCAAATATTCAAATTTAATATTTTAATTGTCAATCAGAAATCGCTAGACTACTTGATTTCATCAATCAAATAAATCAATGTAACTGTAAAGATTTGCCAGAGTGCGAATGTCTTCTACAAATTCATGTTTTTCTAAAATAGAATTGGAGAAATAGAATTTAAGCAGAAATTTACTTCAGTCATCTTACAACGAGCATCTTTCTGTTTTGGATATTTCATAGAATTTTCTATATTTAGTGCATTCTACTTTTTTTAATGTCAAAAATATTTGTAAAATAAACTTAATAATGTATATTTAATTACCATTAGGCAGGATCCATCAGTCCATGTTATCCCATCTTTTATCCATCCATTTGGAAGTTGATAAATCTGTAACAAACTTATTTGTTCGATTAGTAGTTTGAAAAAATTCCACAAAAATTCCAGATCACTAAAACAATCCCAACATTTGAAGAAAAAAAAATCAAATGAATAGCCAAAAGGGCTAGACTACTGAAAAGGAAACTGCGATACTCAGGCGACTTCTTCAACAAAGCACATTTTCAAAAATGCGAAAGCAGTGTGCAAACTTGTTACTTTAGTTCAAAAATCTGCCTATCGCGAAGTATTTTCTTGCATAAAATTTCATACATTCTTCTGCGGAAAAAATTCTAATCTATTATATTTCAAATTCTTCTGAAGTTAATAATTATAAAATTCAATTAAATTATTTAATACTATTATAAAAATGAAGATAAAAATTATTAATTATTAGTTCTTATAACAAGATATTATCACCAATAATAAGTAATAACTGCATCTTTTATAGCAATGAAGTTGAAGTCTTTGTCTTCTCTACTATAAAATGCTCAAACAAAATCGTTTTAATTATTCATAAATATTTATAATTATAATTATAATTATAATAAATAATTATAATTATAAATATTTATAATTTATCTACTCATATGGATATTCATATTTTACTTTTGCAAACATTTATATTGATGATATTTTGATTTTATAAGTAATTACTATAAATGTACATATTCTAGTTGTTAAAATCGCAATGTGCAAGAAGCCTTATTCTGATTTAACACATAAAAAACCTGAAGAAAAATGTTACTACTCACGGGTATAAAAAATACCCGCGGTCACTATGCTTGTCAAAAATTCTACGTATACAACCAGTCACTTGTGCCGATTTGGATATTTCATTCTATTGGACATGATTGAGTGACCGGAGGAATATAAATTCATGCGATTCATGAAGAGCGTGCAGATACGATAATCATAGAAAATTTAATAAATAAAAAACTACTAACGCGCTCGTTTAAATTACAATCGCCGAACAAGCACTGAGTCTAATTTTTTAATGTATTAACAATATGAATTGTTTCAGGTAATATATATTTTACAGGCATATAAACAGTTGAATGTAACTTTTGCATAACAAACACTGCATCACACGCGATCATTATCTGAAAATAAATTACATATTATGTTAGTAAAGAAGAGAAAACAGAGAATCAAATATCTGTTACTTATTAAAAAAATGTTGCTAAACAAATGATTTATAAATGAATTCATAATGAATATATTTATAATGAATTAATTTGTATTTATTCTTCGTTACAGAAAAGTATCTAATTAAGGAAATGAAATACATGAAAATGTTATTTGTAAAGTATGAACTATTTCCTGATATTATCAAATATTAACAGAGATTTGTAAGAATTAAATTGTGAATATTTGTCATTAAGATTTGAAATTGCAACAGCACCTTTTTGTAATATTCGATAATTAAATTTCATAACACGTTCTAAATATCTAATTAATTTTAAATATCTAATTATCTAATTAATTTTAAATATCTAAT